TAATAATGGTTAGGATCTTTTTTTTTTTTTTTTTTTATTTGTGGTTAGGAGAATGATCTACAAAAGCATGTATCGAATCTAGCAGGGAGTTCACAATTGACGGCAGATCAATCTTTTACCAAATTGCAAGGATTTCATGTGGATAGCACCATCAACACTGATTGACAAATTTAGACACACCCTTGTCAGTTTTGATACTCACTCGCCTTCAATTTCCTTGGGTGACCATAAATCTAGGAAAAAAAATGGAAATTGAAATAAAAAACAGAAAAGAGAAATTAAGAATGAGGAGAATCAAGGTAGGAAAGAGTAAGTGCTATGAACTTGAGTGAGATTTAATAGTTTAGAAGCCATAAGAGATGATGATGATGATTAGAGAAAGAAAAAGAAGATAGCTGCCAGCGAAGAGGAAAGTCTGGAGAGGGAAGAGAAACAGAGAGAAAAGGCTTGGTTATTTTTATGTTTGCATGAAACGGTGAGTTTTGGATTTGGTTTGGGCTTGAATAGCTAGTGGGCTCAATATTGGGGCTTGGATTGGATTTGTAGACTTAAGTCGATGAACTTCACCCTTAAACTTTTAATTTCTTCAATTGAGTCATTTCTTTCAACTTCTTTTTACAAAATTCCTCTTTTTGCCCTCAAAAACCTAACAATAAAAATAAAAATAAAACATATTAGTTAGAATAAAGATTTTATTAAAATTTTGAATTATGACAAATTGCATTGCCTTTGATGAGTTATGGTGGGATTTTGGTGTAGCTAAACTTTCAAAACATTGGGAAATTATTTGCCAACTTCGAACCAAGGTCCTTTCTTGACACCATGGATAAACTGATTGAGGGTTTGCTTAAAGGAGTAAGAGCACAACCATTGAAAATTCCTAGTGCTACCTATTACAATGCAATTTAGGTTTGCAAAATCATATTGCTAGTTATCCTTTAGTGTGTGCTTTTGAGGCAAATAAAGGATAGGAAGGAAAAATTTTCAAAAAAATTTTCATGCACTTAATATGGTGACTAAGGGTGGGCATTGGTTGGTTTGGTGACAGACAGACTAATAATATCAATTAATTGCCTTTTCAATTGAAGAAAAGTGTCAATCGTTTATCATATTGGATTTGCTTCAGTTGTGTTGGTTTGGTGACCAATCTATCTTAGTTTTTCATTTTGGTTTCAATTTTGACTAAAATAGATTTTTATGAGAGGAACATAGGAGAATAATGAGAGATGAAGATTGTGATGGTAATGTGTTCTCCTTTTACAACCAAGAGTTAGTCCACAAGATAAGATCTTGAGTTCTTGTACTTAGATATGTAGAAAGAAGACTTATTTTTGCGCTCCTTTGATTCCTCTTTTTAACATTTTAGATCTAGATAAATAAACAATGAGAAGAAAGTTAAGTGAAAAATTTTTTTGATAGAAATTGTTAGATTTAGAGGAGAGATGCCACAAAGTGATAAGTTCAACTTAGACCATTGAAAAAGGCCAACCAAAAAAGAAAGTATGGAGGGAAGACAGTGGAGATTGAAATGTCAAGAGGTGAGAGTGAGGTGAGGAAGAAGAACAAGGTTAGATTTTTTATCCAATGTTGTAAACTAAGCTAGTTAAATCCAATGGCTAAAATCAAATCAACATAAGTTACAAAAATAAATCAATATTTAATTATATGTGGGACCAATAAAATTTCAATTTAAAAAGTCAAATATGCTTTGATAGAAAAGACAAAAGAGGGAAAAAGATGTTAAACACGGTAACCAAACACATAGGTGATCTAAAAAATAAATAAAACTAAGAAAAATTGAGGTTTGGGCTCCAAATTTACTGGGCCTAGCCCTCTGATTTTCAATGCTTAGGCCTTACGATCAAAGCCACCCGACAAGACTTCAAGTTGAAGCTCGAGTTGTTCTTTTTGTGCTTGAACCCAACAAATCGATGAAAAACCTACCCAATTTTAGGCAATTTTATAGTTTTAGTCAGTTGACCAAAATTTGCCCACCCCCTAATGTTGACATAGAAAAATTTTCCTCTCTCCTCTCTTCCCTTTTCATAAACCACACATACCTAGAGTCTTGTTGATAAGTTTATGAATTGGATCAATTTTAACAATTTTTAAATTTTATCTTTCATCCGAAGATTGTTTTCGAATACATCTAATATTAAGTTAGTCTAGATATGAAATCATAAAAGTATATAGAGGTTATGCTATGTAAAATTATAACTTTACAATCATAATATATTATTAAATAAATAAATGTAATAATATTACAAGTTACCACTAAATGAAAGGAGTTAATCATATGAAAACACATTAAAATTATAAGTTTATAATACCATGTGATATTATAATTAATTATGTTATTTACGTTTTCATGGTCCTAAGTCTAACTATCATTAATATTACTCAAATTAAATTGAAATTTTTTGGAACATATATTTTATATAATAATAATAATGGTTAGGATCTTTTTTTTTTTTTTGAGTTATACATTGAAAGGCAACTCTCTACTATCTCTTTACTTATCTCACCTGTATTCCTACAATTTGAATTTAAGATCTTTTATTTCATTTGAAGTAAAGATTACCATTAAATCACTCCTACCTCTATAGGATATATATACCACCACCATTGTAAAATTTTTTCCTTTTTTCACAACTACATTAGAACTCATTCAATATTTGAAATAATATGGTATAATTACAATATCAAATAGTGTCATAAACTTACAACACAACATATCATTATATAATTGACTTATTCAAATGTTCACTGTGATATTATATGCATTTATTAGTTTAATAACATTTCATACTTATTTAATGTTACATGATGATAGTAAGCTTATTATTGAATGTAACATGGCAACAATAATATTGTCAATATTAAAACAAGATAATTATGGCTTAAGAATTCATATTTACTCTTAGAGTATATTTGATTTAAGAGAAATGGATGAGAAGGGGAGAATTTTCTTGTCCAACCAAATTAATGAGTTGAGCTAAAATCTTAATTTAATTAGACAAAAAAAAAACCCCTCTATTTTTCTCAAACCAAAATTCCCCCCCCCCCTTTTTTTTGTTGTACATCTGATAATCATGGATTATATAATAAGAGATAACCCTTTTCTTTTCTTGATAATGATCAGATATATAATAAGAGATAACCCTTTCCTTTTTCTAAATTCCACTCCACCCGACTCAAGATTTGAACTTGAGATGTCCAACATGAAATCTAAAGCTCTTAACCATTGAACCACCCCATTGGGGTTCAAACCAAAATTTCCTTAGATTTCTTTTACCAACCAAAAATGTCTTATTTCCTTTTACAAATCTTTGAATATTAGCAAAAGTAGAAAAAGCTAGTAATACCTCTATAAGATAAAAAATGTGACAAGTATTTTTGGACACTTTTTTTTTTCTTTTTAGTATATCTAATGATGCAACTCTTTCCCTTTTGCGTTTCTCCTTACCAACTTCAAAATTTGAACTTAAAACCTACCAAACATAATGTTTGAACTTAAGACATTTAAATTAAAGTTTCAAATTCCTAACCAATTGAGTATCTTGCAAGTTAGGACACCCTTCTTAGAAAAAGTGACAAGCAATTGGATAGAAAGTAGTGGCAATTTTACTAATGCTTTCGCTAGTTCATACATTAGCTCAGTACTAAACAAATTGTAGATTCTAAGGACCGAGTATGTTCTGGGTTCTGCCAGTGTCGGAAGAGGCTTGAGAAGATATTTAGGGTGGAACTAGAAAAGAAAAAAAGATGATGCAAGGTGACGTAGAGAAAATGAATGATGATTTATTGGATAGGTTGATGCAAGTGAAAGATAAACAAGGGAATAAATTGAGCGATCAAGAGGCAATAGACAACATTCTTAGCTTCGCTATTGGTGGATATGAATCTACCTCTCTAGCATCAATGTGGGCTGTTTATTATCAAGAAAAGTTCCCCAATATACTAAAGAAGCTGAGAGTATAGTCATCAGATGCTATTGAATTAAAGTATAATCAGTTAATCATGTCTTTTTTGATTAATTTGGGTTTTTCTAGTGAAATGCAGGAGAAGAATATGGCAATGAGAAAGAACAAGCAACATGATTTCATTTCAAGTGAAGATGTTTATAATTTGAAATACACAAACAAGGTTGCTGTCATGCTTCCTTTAATTTCACATTCCCGTTATTGTTTCCTCTAGTGTACGTACATATTGCAAAAAAGGAAAATTTCTTGGACTATTTTTGAGTTATGAAGGTTGTGGAAGAAACAATAAGAATGGCTAATGTTGCAGGATTTCTTTTTAGATTAATCACCCAAGAAGTTGAATTTAAAGGTAACTATCATCAGACAAACTACGAGACAAGTTGGCTAGTCAGAAATTCTAAGAAGGAAGAAATGTTCAAGTAACCGTGCCATTATCTTTGAAAAAACTACAGGTTATTAAATACCAAAGAATTGGAGAGAATTCTGTGGATTCAATATCTCTACACAGATCCAGAAAACTTTAAAGTTTCCTTGTGCTTGAAATCTGATAGATGGAATCTAATTAAGTACCCATTTCTCGATATGATTAAAACAAAAATAATTTGGTTAGCTTATGATGTTGGTGTTTCTTTCTTGATTAGGAACCAGCAAGATCTTGTACAAATCATGCTTTTGGTGGGGGACCAAGAACTTGTGCTGGAAACATGCTTATTCGGATACAAGTTATGCTCTTTCTTCATCATTTATCTGTTGGCTACAAGTAATTAATTAAGTGATTGATGTTTTTATATAGATGGAGGTGACGATTTTATGCATTTAAATGTAGGTTAAATACCCTTTTTGGTCCCTCTACTATAGGAAAAAGCCCTTTTTTGGTCTTTATTATTCACAAATCCGGCTCCTTTTTAGTCCTTTCGTTAAATTTTAGCTAATGTAGCAGTAATTAACGGAAAAACTCATTTTGTTTTTTTATTAAATTACATGGATAATCCATCTGGCAAAAAATGATGACATGGTTAAATTTTTTACTTTTAATTATTGATTTGCCCTCAAAGATTGATGACATGGTAAAATTTTTTCTTTTAATTACTAATTTACCCTCTTCTTTCTTCCCCATCCTCTCCTTCCTCCGGCCTTTTCTTCTTTTTTTTTTCTCCTTTTATCTCTAGGCGAACCCAGGAGCTTGGGTTCGCGAGGAACCCAGCTCACAGGTTCGCACCCAGGACCTTGGGTTCACGAGGAACCCAACTCGCGGGTTTGCACCCAGGAACTTGGGTTCCTCGCGAACCCAGCTCGTGGGTTCGCACCTAGGAGCTTGGGTTCGCGAGGAACCGAGCTTGGGTTCGCGAGGAACCCAGCTCGCGGGTTCCCACCCAAGAGCCTGGGTTCGCGAGGAACCCAGGTCTTGGGTTCGCGACATACCCTCATCTTCTTTCCTTCCCTACATCCTTGGATTAATTTGCCTTTTAACCTGATTTGTTGGGAATTCAGTCTAGCTTCATTCGGATCTCGATTTCAAATTAATTGATCAAAGTGTACGGATTTGAAGCTATGACCTTCAACATCCATGGTGGGTATCTGAAGGCGATCGTGAGGGGCTACAAGGCTAGCCTCTTCACTGCCGCCGATTACAACAACCTCTGCTAGTGCGAGACCCTTGACGACATCAAGATGCACCTTTCCGCTACTGAATACGGGCCTTATCTCCAGAATGGTACGTTTCAGTTTCTTCATATCTATTAATTTTATTGACGTTGTTCGAAATTTTGATATACAATTTGAAATCAAGTGCACGATCGTGAATTGAGTATGGAGCTGAGTGTGATGAGGTCGAATGACGTTTAATTGTAGCAGGAGAGAGTTCTGCCTGATGTAATTTGATGTTTTGTGTTTTTTCTGGATATGTAATGCCTTGTTTGTTCGTTATGGTTGCCTTTTAGGTTTTGCTGAGTTCATAAAATTCTTTCTAAATACAACTAAATTGTTTTTTAAAAAAATCCTATAAAAAAAAAATTCAACATAAACAGTCTTTAGAATGCTTAAGATCTGCCTCTCACATAATAAGCCACCTTCTCAATTTTTTAAAAGTTCTTATATATATATATATATATGTAGTTGTGTTTGTATGATCATAGTGCAGTTGGATCTATCTCTGCTAAGAAAGCCATAGAGATTTCACGGACGTCACGAACCCAAGACCTGGGTTCCTCACAAACCCAGGCTCTTGGGTTTGCCTGGAGGTAAAAGAAAAAAAAAAGGCTGGAGGAAAGAGAAGCCGGGGAAGAAGATAAGGGTATATCAGTAATAAAAGTAAAAAATTTAATATGTCATCAATTTTTGCCACGTGGATTTTCCACGTAATTTAATAAAAAGAAATGAGTGTTTCCGTTAATTAACCTGCCACATCAACGAAAATTTAACAGAAGGACTAAAAAGGGGCCGAATTTGTGAACAGTAAGAGCCAAAAAGGGGATTTTTTTGGTACAGGGACCAAAAAGGGGATTTTTTTGGTACAAGGACCAAAAAAGGGCTTTTTCCTATAGTAGAGGGACCAAAAAGGGTATTTAACCTTAAATCTATGAACCCTCAACTCATCTCACGTTAATATTGGATTTCAGGTGGGAACTATGTAATCCGGAGGTGAATATTACTTGTCTTCCACACCCAAACCCGGTTGATGGGGTTGAGGTTTACTGGAGTGCTATATAGGTTGTGTGCTTAAATGCAAATGGGCATGTAAAATAGCTTTCCTAATAAAAGCCCATTTAGTAATATTATTATTATTATTATTATTATATGAATCGAAGGAAATTAGGGGAGGAGAATGGGGATATAAGGGAGTTGAATCTAGTAGTATTAGTAAAGCACCCACATGGTGACTACACAAGCCATAGGTCAAGGTTCAATTTTTTGCTTTTGTTTATTCTTTTATTTTTGAAAGTCATATATATATATATATATATTGGATAAGGTAATCATAAACTGACAAATTAAGTTTTATGAGTTTTATATATTTTAGTTCATAATACACACTAAAAGTATGGTAATAATAAAATTATTAAATTAATAACAATAATAAATATTAAAAAATTTAATAAAAATATTTTAATAATTTTAATATTAAAATTATATTTTTAATGTGATTTGAAAACTAATACCATATATAGTTGTTGGGAAGGGACTTAACATTCAACCTGGGTCGTGTACAGCAGGCTCGATCATACATCCATAAGCCCAAAATGAAGAGATATCCATACACTAATGCAAACATATCCACGTGGGTAGTAACACGTAGACCAATCGGATGCCCACACGTATGGATTCATGTTAGCACATGGGGCTATAAATACCCCCAACTACCTCCACTCAAGGTATTAACTCCACTACGCTTCTCTCTCTGCAATTACTCATTGAGAACTTCTCTTTCTAGAATATTGAGTATTGCTAACTTTAGCGGCGGAGTGTTTTCCTTGAGCAAACATCCTCGGGTTTTTAGGTATTAAAGCAGTTGAAGATATCTATAGTATAAGATCATGAAGCTGCCCAAACATGTGGCGCCGTCTGTGGGAAATTGAACAAAAAGTGTTGCGGTTTAATTAGCTTGAGCTAAAAATGGTACATACCTTTACAGGGAACCGCCCTTTGAGAGGCAACATGGACAACCAAGATAATACCCAGCCTTTGGAAAGCGACCTAAATGACTTTCGGCCAATGCAGAGAAACCTTTTCATTGGAGGAGCAGAACAAGAACAATCAAATAACTCGGATGATGAACGAACACCTACTGGGTATGTAACCTAACTCGAAGAAAAATTTCACATCCCAACAGAAACTAGGCGAAGGCATTCCAAGCAAAATACTTCACGACCTGAGAGACTGTTGGAATCTGCTCGGATGACCGAGCTGGAAGAAAGAACTAGAGTTCTAGAGATGGCCATGGGAAGAATTCTCTCTTGTCTGATCCCTGATGAACCCCTAATTCCTTTGCTAAATAGGGGTGAGTAGTCGGCAGCAGTGGTTGCAACTTGCAACTCCCTGGCCTTGAGTAATGTGGTGGTTCCAACCAAGCCAAGGGGAAGTGGAAGATAAAATCCAGGGCCCAACTTATCCAAACACAATGATGAATTAATGAAGAAAAATGCAGAACTCAAGAAATAACTAAAAGATATATAGAGGTCTATTGACAAGTTAAAGAGTCCGAGGTTGCATCAACAAGCCTTGGATTTAGACAGTGCCCCTCTCAACCTGTCCATTATAGTAGAACCATACTAGGAGGGATTGGTTAAATACCCTTTTTGGTCCATCTACTATAAGAAAAAGCCCCTTTTTGGTCCATGTATCGAAAAAATCCCTTTTTTGATCCCTAAATTTTAAAATCTGGCCCCTTTTTAATCCCTCCGTCAAATTTTGCTCACGTGGCACGTTAACTTAACTGGAACAGCTGACGTGGTATGCCAAAATGTAAAAAATGCTTACGTGGACTTCTGACACCTTCCACGTCACTCTCCCGCGCGCGAAAATGAAAAAAACCATAAACAGTGGGCCCCACATTCTGAAATACGCGGTAAATATAAGTCGATTGTCCCTGAACCCTACCAGAACATAACCCTAAATTCTCCAATTTTTTTTCTCCAATTTTTTTTTTCCAGTTCCCTGTCCAGAAATCATCTTCTTGCTTTTGAAACTCTTGTTTTTTCATTCAAAATGGAGGGTGGGCTTTCGCGAAGCAACTCGTTTACTTGATGTGGTCGCTCTAAGGCTAGGTTGCCCGAGTATAACCTTTTCTTTAACAGCTTCCTCGTCTAGGGCTCAACTCGGATACATCACAGTTCGTTTAAGTCAAACCTCAACGTTTGGGTGTGTACCCTATGCCATAATCTTCCAGTTCGGCAGATGACGAGGTCGTTCATAAAATCCAAAGATTGTTAGATCTTACTCTCCAGGTCGAATGATAGGCCACGGAAACATTCAACCCAATTCATCAACCGAACACTGAGGGGGGAGTAATGTTGGGAATGGGCCCAACATTCAACCTGGGCCATGTACAACAGGCCTAGTCATACATCCATAAGCCCAAAATGAAAAGACATCCATATACTAGTGCAGATATACCCATGTGAGTAGTAACACGTGGACCAATCGGATGCCCACACGTATGGACTCATGTCAGCACATGGGGCTATAAATACCCCCAACTATCTGCACTCAAGGTATTAACTCTACTATGCTTCTCTCTCTGCAATTACTCCTTCAGAGCTTCTCTCTTTAGAATATTAAGTATTGCTAACTTGAACGTCAGAGTGTGTTCTCCGAGAAAACATCCTCGAGATTTTCAAGCGTTAAAGCAGTTGAAGATATCTACAATGTAAGATCGTGAAGTTGCCAAACAATAGTTATCTTTTATTTTTTAATGAAAAAATTACTTTTTTATTTAACTATTTTTTTAGTGCTAATCTTTTAGTATTCAGTAATTACTTGTTTCCTAATTCATTAAAAAGATTGAAAGGTATACCTATTTCCTTGATATCTTGAAGTAAGATTAGGTTTTGGGCTTCAAATTTTGCAGCTGGAGAAGGGGGAGAAAAACCTTAGGACTGTCAAGTAATTGTTCCAGAAAAGAGAAAGGAGAGAACATTGGAGAAAATTAAAAAGAAGAGAGAGGGATTAGAAACAGATAAGATTAGGAAGAGAACGGGAGGAAAAAACATGATAATATGATATGTAATTTTTTATAGTGGTGAAAAAAACAAGAAAATATGTTGTAGATTGGAAAGAAGTCATGATTTGGAGTTGGGGACTTAAAAGGGAAAGTTATTGATGTTGACTCAATGCACTCCAAGAGGGGGGGTGAATTGGAGTTGGAGAATTTTCACTTCTTTGCAACCACCAAGAAAAAATTAAAGAGAGAGTTGAGAAGAAAAGCTTGCATAATGATTTTATAGAGGTTCGGTCCAACCACTTGGAGCCTAGTCCTCTACCTTGGCTTCACTCACCAAGGATTTCCTCTTCACTCTCCACTAACAAAAACAATGGTGGCTTAAAGGAGCCACTCAATCCTTTACAAGAAGAAGGGTTTCTCTCAAATCTCACCCATTTACACTTTAACCCCAAAGATCCTCTCTATAGATCACTCTTGAAAGAATCAACACATCCCCAAGATCACTCACTAATAGCACAAGAAGAGGATTACAAACAAAGATCTCTCAAAGATCAAAATCTCAAGTTAAAGCTCATGTAGGTAGGTAAAGATATTCAATACAATACTCTCTAAACTCCTTCACATCTGTTACCAACCATATTTATAGCCCCTTACTCGAAAATAGCCGTTTCTAGCCGTTGGGGGTCATTAAATGCTTTGCAGGATGCAAACCTCGAGCTGCAGGATTGTCAAGAGAGCCGGCTTAACATTTTAGAGCCGGCTCTGCAGAGCCGGCTTACACTTCCAGAGCCGACTATCCGAGTTTGCAGGCCATTCTGTTTTCCTCGAGAGCCGGCTGCAAGACTTTGAGCCGGCTTTGGAACTCCGGCTTTGGAACTCCGGCTTTGGAACTCCGACTTTAAATACATTAAATATTCTTCAAAAGACTCGACCGTTGTGCATTAAATGTATCCTCACAACCGGCTGCAAAGCCACAGCCGGCTTTGCGTCTTTTCTTCGCGCGTGCCAAACAACGGTCTTCAAATTTTTGCCTGTAGAGCCGGCTGTAGCTTCCAGAGCCGGCTTTCTGCATTCCATTTCACCAGAGCCGGCTTTCTGCATTCCATTTCACCAGAGCCGGCTGCACTTTACCAAAGCCGGCTCTCTGCACATTTTGAATCCTTTTGGTCTATTTTTAGTGCAATCCAAGTTTACTTGCAATCTTTTAGCAACTTAACTACACACTTAAATAAACCAATCAGTCACTCAAATGTGTTTTGTAATCATCAAAATCATAGGTACAACAATTGAGAGAAGGGAGATGAGAAGAATGGTGGAGAATTGAAGACTTAGGGCTTTATATATTTTTTTCGTTTTTTACTTCTTAAAATTTTGTTGGGCCTAAAAGTTGGGTCTCATTTCGGTTGCTTCGGAGGCCCCTAATTGGATTTCGGTTAATAGACCTTCAACCCAAAATCAAACCAAAAATCTTATCTATTAATACCAAAATCGGGCTAAAAATGCCCAGTACCGATTGGACCTACCCAAATTCAAATTTTTGTGTCAGAATGGGTTATCACCCGAAGGCCAAGCCCTACTTCCACCCACAATAAACAAAATCGCCAAAAGATCCGTTTGGTTGGGCGGAAAATGATTTTGGACGTAAAAATAATTCAAAGATAATTTTTTTATATTATTTTTTAAGTATAATTTTAAGTATTATTTTAATAAATAAATAATTTATTTATTTAAAATTTATAATATTAAATACAATTAATTATTTAATAATAAAAAAATTATATAAAAAAATTCTCTCTTTCTCACTCCCATTTTGCATATATTGTTATCTTATATTTTTTTAATGAGAAAATAACTTTTGGCCGGGTCGGGTACCCGATTTTCCGTGAAAACGATCGATGCAGAGTCTCTCGATCTCCATCCACTCATTACCCTCCCTCCTCCGGACCACCTCCAATGAGACTCCTCTGTCTATATCCGTCTCCACGGAAAACACCCCTCTGCAACTCGCAAAAAACGAAAACCTACTGTTTGAAACAATTGAGAACCAGGGGATTCGGATTCCCTTTGTTGCCGCACAGACGCTTCTTCCCTTCACGTGCATCACCGTCGAAAAACCCACTGAAGAAGACAGCAACCGAAGAAAGAACTCGAGGAGCTTAGGCCTTTTTTCTACCTTTTGCTCTTATTTTGGGTTTCGTTCTATTCTAGATTTTTCAGTCTCAGATTTTCCTTCATTTCGATATGATATGTGGCTGGATATTTATTTGTTGATGTCATTGTCAGGATGGGCAAGACTTTGATGAATCTGTATCGTTTGAGTATTTTTTTTTTTTTTTTTTTTTTTGTATAGTTTCAGATTTCAAGTGATCCTTTGAAATTGTTTAAATTATTAGTGTCGTGGGTGATATTTTGTTTTTTTTTCTTTTTTCTGGATCTTAAATCTTGTTCTGGGTAAGTTGCATAATCAATTTTTGCATTTGGGACTGTTGTTAAATGTAGACATTAACCGCTTCAACAAGAGTTCTGATGAAGTCTTTGTTCTGTAAGATGGATCTCTCCTTAGAGAGGAGGGGATTGCTTCTTGTATTACCATTGTAGCTTGCCCATGTTAATAAAAGGGTAAGGTGGAATGTCTAAAAAGTGTTTGTAGAAATGCCTAAATGTGAGTATTTTGTACGTATTATCCGTAATTCTGTGTGGCCTGTTACTTCTTTATGATGCCTGTTATATATGATGTGTTTCTTTGCTAATTAGTCAATTAGACTTAGCTTTTTGATTGCATAATTTCCTTGGTAAATTTTATGCAACTGGGCAAGCTTGTTTCTTGATTCATTTTATGTCTTAAAAATGACAATAAGTGATTGCTAGGGTTTATGAAATGTGGTGCTGAGTTTATTTGGGTCTTGTTGCTTTTCAATTTAGATGAGAAATGTGTTAGAAAGGCATAGAAAGAATAACATTTTATTTTCTTTCATTTGTTTTACCGTGTAGAAGTGTTTTGTTTAGCATTTATTTTCAGTGATAAAATCCCAGGTAGTGACCAAGAACCCTGCCTCATAACTGAGCTTGGGTTCGCTGCTACAAGTCAATGCATATAGAGGTGTCAATGCCATGTTTGTTGAGAATAATTCTCAACTATAACATCCTGTTTTTTTCCTCTCTTTGTTACAGAATACTTGAAGCCTGAAATAGTTTACCGGCCTTCTTAGTTCCTGTTCCTTGGCCTTTGGGGGTTAGCAGGTTTGTTGGGATCTTTGATTCTTTTCTCAACTATAACATCCTAATGTAACATTGTGCTTTTCTCAATTTACTAGCTTGAGAATGCTATGTCTTTTAGAGGTAGTGCTGTCTGCTCGGATTACCTCCTTCCTCTATTGCTTTCTGGCTCTTGTAGTATATGTCTGGAACTTCAGCTATCCTTTTGTGTTTTTGTGGTTGATGGATAATTTGGAGTTGTTCCTAGGTTTTAGTTTCTTTCACTGTAGGGTATGTAAAGCTTGAAGTTTTATATTTTTTTTATAGTAATACATGCTTATTGGCCAAAAAAGAAAAAATTTCAGTAGAACATATTTAATTTTTAGTTTTTTCTATAATCGAGCTCTTGTAAAATGCAGGTTCTATTGAGAATTTCATATTGCTTCTGATTTTTTGTATTAAAAAAACTGCTATTAAAGAATTTTCATGCATCCCTAAGTTATTTATGGATATTTTTGTCTTTTCATAACTCATACCATTTTAACAGTAGCTGTTTATATCATAAATTGCAAAAATTAAAGATCATGCCAAGTGTAAAATTTTTTAATGGATGGAGGAGATTTTGCCATGTTAAATATGTAATTTTGGACCCCAAACAGATCAGCTACTACATTTGAAGGAAGGGGAGTTGTAATTGGAAAAGGGAAACAAAAAGGAAGTTTTGGATCACACAACACACAGCCAGCTTTTATACACAAATTGCAAATTTTTATATTTTCAATTTCTCTGCAATTGCTCACTTTTGCTTGCATATTTCGAATTTCAGCATAATTCCCAATAGATTTAAGTTTTTTTCATCATTCCAGTAGTTGAATTAGTTCATGTATTTGCTTCATCAATTTCGTTTCATGTAATGATTAATAAGCTTTTGAATTTCCTCAATGTGCTATTCTTTTTCTGACTGTAATTAGTTTAATCTTTATGATCAGTAGCATTTCATTGAATAATTACTTACATGGCATTCACGCTTTTTCTCAATTTCAAGTATATTAGTTTAATCAATGTTCATATTTAATTTTAGTTTTGTAGGGTTAGATCTCAAAATCTGCAATAGTTAATTTCTAGATTTGTTTGTAGATATCAATTTAATTTGACAATGAACATGTTTAATTTAATTTGGGCACTTCCTTTTCTTGCAAGCTTACTTTAATCTACATGCTATTTAGCTCATTTAGGATATGTTTTATAGTAGTGTTTAAGTCTTTAGAGTTTTCCAAGGCAAATTTAGTAACTCATTTTGCAGGAAGACTTCCTTCCTTCTTGCAAATTGTTTATAGGTGTAGATTTTAATTTTAAAATAATGTTCTTCTCGCCATCCATAAGGAGGTTAATCGTGAGTAAGGAAAGGGTTTTGGGGAAATCCTTCTTTCTTGCTTTCAGCAAAGTAAGTGGCACACCCCATCCAGATTTCGCATGTACAATGCCACTAGAGAATTTTTGAGAAAACAATCCTTTTTTGGCACAGCCAGTGGGACTTAACCATGTCTCACTTATAGTTTTCAGATCCGTTGTTCTTTTATCGAAGAAAAGGCATAGTTATGCTACCAAAAAGAAACATTGGGAAGCCTGCCTAGATGTTACAGACTAGGTTCGACGAAGGCAGTCCAACACACTTAGAAAGAGAGAATGAGCTAGTCATTCTACTACCATTATCAACGATGCTTGGGGAACACTCCTTTATTAATCCAACCTTCAACAAGGATCATGAATCAAGAGATGATGTTGCTCAAATTGGTGACTCTCTTATGAAGATTGTATTAGAACAGATTAGCATGATAAGTCAAATGCTGTTGGAATATGAGGAAAGAGCTTAACAAAGAAGCCAAGAGATCGCCAAACAATTGGATGAGTCCTTTCAAAATCTGGCTCAAAATTTAGTCCAAAGTGTAGCTTAAAATGTAGTTGACATGCGGCGCTCTAATAAATAAAGTGCAAGAATTTGGCGAAAGTAAAATGCAGAAAATTAGAGAGTTTTTCAAGTTGAAACAGAGCAAATGTAAGAAGTATTTTGACGTGCTAGAATTGAATCTCAACCACAAGTAAAAAATTTTCAAAGGTAGAACCAGCATATTCCAATTCTAACATGCAAGGAGCAAGTTAATCTGCCACAACCACTTCCTCAGAATTAGCAAGCAACAGGTGGACCAATGCAGTCAGAACCTGTTGAAGGTGCACCACATGTGGCAAAGTTGAGCAATCCCCAATAGCCTAGATATATGCCACCTCAGTATCGACCAAATGTAGGACACCCACAGCATAATGCACCTCTAAAAAGGGAGCATTTCCAGCCTTATGTGCCACCCATGCAACAAAATCCACAAGGTTTGCCAAGTCAGTACATCAATCATGATTAGATCATTGATCTGGTGTAGGAGGCTTATGATCCAATTTTAAGGCCTCTAGTCAGACTAGTTTATAGAAAACTATATCCAGATTTTATAGACCAAGAGAATCATTTTCTAAGGGGATTCAAGGTTCTAGAATTCACCTTATTTTCTGGAGATGGTGGATATTCTACAATTGAACATATAGGCCGTTTCACAATTCAGTGTGTGGAGGCCTCCAGTGATGATAATCTGAAACTCAGGCCTTTTCCCAGCTTTTTAATAGGTACAGCTCTCACTTGGTATCTAAGTCTACCATAGAATTCAATTTATTCTTGGAGGCATATGGAAGATTTTTTCCATATCTAGTTTTATCGTAGTGAGCCAGAAGTGTCCATCACAGATTTATCTCATCTAGTGTAGCAACTTGGAGAAATATCCAAGGCCTTCTTGCCAGATTTTGGCAAGCCAAACTTAAGTGTAAAGCTGCCATGCTAGAACAAGAGTTTGTTAAGCTGGCACAGAATGGTTTGGACATTGAGTTAAGGAAAAAGTTTGAGGAAATAGAGTTTTGTGATTTCTTTGAGTTGTTTTACAAAGTTACTCGTTATGAAATTTATTGTGTGAAGACACACAGAGGAAAGCTACATCTCATGGGATCTACTATGAAGATGCAAACTTTGATCTAGATGTGGCAGAAGTGGTAGCAGACAAACCTGTTGTTTGCCCAGATCTTATTAAAGTGGCCTAGCAAACTGAAAAGACAGTAAAGCGTTATATCAACAAGGTTGGAAAGCAATATAGTTTTGACATTTCAAAAATTAGTGAAATTTTTTACCACCTTAGAAAGAGTGGTCTAATTAAGTTACTGCCAAGGAATAAAATCCCAATTGCTGGCAAAATTAGAAGTAAAGAACATTGCAAGTATCATAATTCTTGAAAACATTCAACTAATGATTGTGTTATTTTTTAAAATGTTTAGCAAGACAAAATCAACAAGGGAATTTTGTGTTTTCTAGATAAGGCCAAAGAAACTATGGGAGTTTATGCAAATCCTTTTCCTGGCATGTCTGTTGAGGTGAATGCTGCAAGTCTTAAGAGCATTGCCAGAGACAGAAATCAACCATACCCCAAGCGTAGACTTGCAATGGATGATTTGAGGTGGGTCATTGAGGAGGCAAAGGCCCACATAAATTAGATTAGATTAGACACATCCCAAAGAAAAAGGCACGACGACACAACCCAACTTAGCAAAAAAATAATGTAGATCAATGAATTGTGATATCTGGACATGTAGAATAGCCTAGAATGGTGAAACCACCGCCCAGATCTCCAAGCAAATGATGGGAACGTTTTGTTCATCCAAAATTTCCTAAGGTTCAAAATATAAGACTGTAAGAAGGCGCTTACAATGCGAAAGGGCAGTAAAGAGACCTAGCAGATTATAAGCTTGGGGGGCATGGCAGATCAGACTCAATCGCTCCCAACAAGGAGGAAGTCAATGTGGATTCATAAAGAAAAAGGTAGCATATCTGGTCAGACTTCTCCAGAAAAGAATGTACCACCCAAAGTTCCAACATCACTTTAAGTTCTAACTGTGGAATCAAACGAAGAAACTGGCTTAAAGGCGAAGTTTGATGTGTTAGATAAAGCAAAAAGTTCATTAAATGTAATTCATTTTGATGAGTTTTATGTGAATTGGTCTTGTTTGCTGATTACTCTTCCTTTGGTCTTCCAAGCCAGAGAATAGTCAGAATCTGTAGTCGTCAACAAATAGATCAGACCAAGGAAGGGGATGTTATACCTATGATTTTGATGATTACAAAACACATTTGAGTGACTAATTGGTTTATTTAAGTGTGTAGTTAAGTTGCTAAAAGATTGCAAGCAAACTTGGATTGCACTAAAAATAGACCAAAAGGCTTGAAAATGTGCAGAGAGCCGGTTATTAAAACTTACAGCCGATTGTAGAAGTGCAGAGAGCCGGCTCCGAAAGTTGCAGCCGACTCTACGGGTAAAAAGTTAAGAGCAAGTTGTTTGGTGCGCGCGGAGAAAAGATGCAAAGTCGATTCCAACTTTGTAGCCGGCTGTGAGGGTGCATTTAATGCACAACGGTCGAGTCATTTGAAGATTATTTAATGTATTTAAAGTCGGAGTTGCAAAGCCAGCTCAGTTTTGCAGCCGGCTCTCAAGGAAAACAGAATGGCCTGCAAAACCGGATAGCCGACTCTGGAAGTGTAAGCCGGCTCTTCAGAGTCGGCTCTAGAATGTTAAGCCGGCTCTCCTGATAATTCTGCAACTTGACTTTTGCGTCCTGCAGAGCATTTAATGACCCCCAACGGCTAGAAACGGTTATTTTCGAGCAAGAGGCTATAAATATGGTTGGCAACAGATATGAACAAGTTTAGAGAGTATTGTATTGAATATTTTTACCTATCTACATGAACTTTAACTAGAGATTTTGATCTTTGAGAGATCTTTGTTTGTAATCCTCTTCTTGTGCTATTAGTGAGTGATCTTGGGGGTGTGTTGATTCCTTCAAGAGTGATCTGTAGAGAGGATCTTTGGGGTTTAAGTATAAAGGGGTGAGATTAAGAGAAACACCCTTCTTCATGTAAAGGATTGAGTGGCTCCTTTAAGCCACCATTGTTTTTGTTAGTGGAGAGTGTGGAGGAAATCCTTGGTGAGTGAAGCCAAGGTAGAGGACTATGCTCCAAGTGGTTGGACCGAATCTCTATAAAATTATTGTGCAAGCTTTTCTTCTCCACTCTCTCTTTAATTTTTGTTTGGTGGTTGCAAAGAGGCGAAAATTCTCCAACTCCAATTCACCCCCCCTCTTGGAGTGCATTGAGTCAACAGGGGAAATCATTGAAATCCTAGTTAAGGAAGATGAAGGTGTAGATTTAGCAGACAAAATTATTTTTGAAAAGTCAGAAGAAAGGATGGCCAGACATATTAAGCCATTATACATTCATGCACATTGGGATGGTTTGCCGATAAATCAAGTTTTAGTTGATAATGGAGTAGCTATCAGTGTTTTGCTAACCTGTATGTCGCACAAAATTGGCAAATCTTTGGGTGGTTTAATGGAGATAAAAGTGATAATCAATGACTTTACTGGTGAGGTAAATTGCTCAAGGGGAATTCTATCAGTAAAACGTACTATTGGAAATAGAACTCTCATATGTGCATTATTTATGGTTGACACTATTGCCACTTATAATGCATTACTTAGGAGAGATTGGATACATTCTAACTGATGTGTTCCTTCAACTTTGCACCAAAAATTAATATTCTGGAATAGTGGCAGAACTAAGGTTGTGACAAAAGATCACATGCTTTTTGTGGCAAACACTAATGCAGTGGAAGCTTGTTATTATTATGAAGATATTGGAACTATTCACTTGTTTAAGATGGATTGTTAGGGTAGACCTTCTGGAATTATTACCTACACCAGATTTACATTTGACTAACAGACTGTGAAGGTCTTTGATGAACTTTTTTGGCCTACAACAATTGTTCCCTTTAGGTCGAGAAAGGAGCCTAAAATTAAAGAAATTCCATGAAGAAGGATCACATTAAGTACCAGAAGAAGGAGTCCATGGAAGAAATCAAAAGGAAGTTAGCGACTTACCTTGCAGGAAAAAAGGTCTATGTAGACAGATTTGAGGTGGTTTTTGAAGGTGAAGAGAAAGACTCGAAGGATCGATAACTCTAGAGGAATTAGATTTGATACCAGCAAAACTTAATGATCTGAAGGCAAAAGTATAAGATCCCCTACAAAAGGTAAATCTAAGTACCAAGGCAGATCTGAAAATTACTTTTATTGGTGATTCTCTTGAGTTATGTTTGGATGATAAAATTATTAATATTTTGCACAAATACAAAGACTATTTTGCTTGGGATTATTTTAAAATGCCAGGTCTAGACAAAAATCTGTGGAGCATAGATTACCAATCAGAGAAGGCTTTAAACCTTTCAAGCAGCCCTTCAGACGAATGTCTCCAGAAGCCACTTTGAAAGTTAAAGAAAAGATAAAGCGACTGCTAAAGGTTGGTTTTGTTGAAACTTCCAAATATGTGGAGTGGTTATCTAATGTGATCCCCATGGTTAAAAAGAATGGCAAGCTAAGAATTTATGCATACTTCAGTAATCTGAATCTGACAACACCGAAAGATGAATATTCTATGCCTATTGCAGATTTGCTGGTAGACGATGTAGCACGCCATCAAATTCTATCATTCGTTGATGGCCACAATGGGTACAACCAGATTTTCATAGCAGAAGAAGACATTCCAAAGACTGTTTCTGTTGCTTAAGAGCTATTAGTACTTATGAATGGGTGGTAATGCCATTCGGTTTAAAGAATGCAAGTTCAACTTACCAAAGAGTCATGAATGCCATCTTTCATGGCATTATTAGTCATTTCATGGAGATTTATATTGATGACATGGTTGTGAAGTCTAATGAAGATGAAGAACATCCGATGCATTTAAAGCTAGCCTTTGAAAGAATAAGGAAGCATGGTCTAAAGATGAATCCTTTAAAATGTGCATTTGGCCTTTCTGCTAGAAATTTTCTATGATATTTGGTGCATGAGCGAGCTTTGGAAGTGGATTAGAGCAAGGCAAGTGTTGTTATTAAAGCACAACCGCCAAGAAGTAAGAAAGAATTACAAAGATTCCTTGGACAATTAAATTTTCTGAGGCGTTTTATTTCAAATCTGGTAGGAAAGACGAGTTTTTTCACCAATGCTGAAGCTAAAATCTGAAGCAAATTTCAAATGGGAGAAGCATCACCAAACCACCTTTGAGAAAATAAAGCATTATTTATCGAAGCCACCGGTTTTAATGCCTCCTATAACAAGCAATCCTTTGATTTTGTATATATCTGCTGCAAATAAATCTATAGACTGTCTGTTGGCTCAAGAAAATAATAAAAGGCAAAAGCGAGCTGTTTATTACCTAAGTCGAAGTTTGTCACAGACCGAAGTGAAATATTCTTCAGTCAAAAAATTATGTCTTGCTTTATTTTTTGCTGCAATCAAATTGAGGCATTATTTGCTTTATTCTGAGATTTATGTTATTTCAAAAACATATGTGATAAAGTATATGTTGTCTCGACCATTGTTGTGAGGTTGAATTGGAAAATGGGTTCTGTCTTTGTCAGAATTCAGCCTGAAGTTATCAAGGGGCAAACTTTAGCAGATTTTCTAGTAGATCATTTGTGCCTCAAAGTAAAAGCGGATGAGAAAAAGGTATTAATTTATTTTTCATAAATTTGGTTTATTGGAAGCTTATCTTTGATGGTCCAGCATAAATTCCATGTTTGGAGTAAGAATCATCGCCATTTCTTCGGTAGGTTTGAAAATCCAGATGTTGTTCTAAGTAGATTTCAACTGCACCAACAACCAAGTTGAGTATGAGGCATTGATTATTGGGCTGGAAGTACTGGTAGAACTCAAGGTACCTAAGGTAGAAATAATTGGTGACTCACAATTAATTTTAAAACAATTAGAAGGTGAATACAAATGCACCCATCTATCTTTGGCACTTTACTTTGCTCTGGCAGTACAACTTCTAGAATTGTTCAATGATGTAATCTTGAGGCATGTCACTCGAGATTTGTACAAATAAGCAAATGAGATGCCACAAAGCACCTTGGATCTAAAAATCCCAAAAAGTGTGATGACGAAAATTATTGCTTTGGGAAAACGAATTCTGCCATCTATTCACAAGCATTGTATGGTGATTTTTACTTGTTCCATAGACATGACTTAGACAAATGGGTGTTATTTGATCATGGAATACTTCAAGAATCCAAGTTCTATGGCCTCAAGAAAGACAAAAATGCAAGCCTTGAATTATATCCTGCTAGAAGGTTTTCGTTACTGTAGAGGACATGATGAACTACTTTTGCGTTGTCTAGGTTTAGATGAGTGTTGCCAAATTATGTCTTGCCAAATTATGTCAGATGTACATAATGAAATCTGTGGTGCACACCAAGCTAGAATTAAGATGTGTTGGTTGATTCGTAAACATGGATTTTTTTGGCCATCAATGTCGAAATATTGCATCAATTATGCTAAGATTAAATACCCTTTTTGGTCCCTTTACTATAAAAAAAAGCCCTTTTTTGGTCTCTGTACCAAAAAAATCCCCTTTTTGGTCCTTACTGTTCACAAATC